GGCCTGGTGGCACAAATTTCCCAGACGGCCAGATCAAAATCTGATTGATGGCAACTTAGTGCCTCAGTGAACATAATTGTAAACTAAAATAGACATTCATTCATTCATTCATTCATTCAACCATCACCACCACCACCACCACAACGCATACACAGACACACTTTCTAACTTGTGATAAGCATATTTTTACAACCTTTATTCAACTATGTTGTAAAGATGATTGGATTAAATCAAAGAATGGATAATTTTCAGCTATGATGATGAGAGTCACTCGAATTTTGAAATTGCTTTATGTTAATTTTTGTTGTAACTGGTCTTTGGGTTTCCTTGAGAATTTTCAAATATAGGTCAATGCTAAATTTCAAATTTCAGAGTATGGTGCTATTTCATCAAAGTTTTATGCTGAGGTTTTATCCTTAAATAGTGCAAATATCATAAACAAACCAGTTTTTACTGGCTTCGAAACTCCATCTAGCTTTCATAAAATCTTCCCAAGCCCTATATTAATTGAGCTAGTAAATGTCATTGATAGCAATTGCTTTGGGAATTGTACTGCCAAGAAATAATGTTTTGGCTATGGACACAAACAAGAGACATGGCAATTGAACAAAAAGTAACCGAACAAAGTACTCAGATGTCTAGTGAAAATGTGCCAAGATTTTTTTATAAAAACAAAAATCAATAAAATTACATTTCTTGCCTTTATCTTATTTACTTTTCTCTGCTGGAGTCAATTTAAAAACAATGAACAATAGTGAACATTTTTCTATTTGATGCTCTGAAGATATTTTTCCTTGCTTTGAAAACATTTAACAAGATTATCTTCACAGTCTAGATATGAAAATGAACTAATGGAACTAATGTGATATTGTTAACAATCAACACTCAGGTTCCCAGGAATACTTTACCAGTTATGTTGAAGAGAAAATTAAATAAGGTTTTGGGTATGCATTCTAGGAATATTAAAGTTTGTAATTCCTTACCTATTCCCAGTTAAAGAACCAGTTTTAGGTGAGGCATAATGACATAGTATTTCTTGAAGATATTTTATTTAAATGCATTTTTATTTGCCTAAGACACAGGTAAGGTACAGGAGTACAGTATATACATTGCACAATATTAAGAGTGCCATTAATACAAATTAGGTGTAATATGATGACATAGTGTACTTTACTTTCCTGAAATTAGGAGGTCTCATTAATACACTCATGAAATCCAGTATTAGTGAGCTGAAAGCTAAGTTATCAGTTTTATCACAGCTAACCTAAGCTAGATTATTTGTTATGACCTATAACCCAGAGAAAATGTCTATATTCAGACGTGAAATCAACTTGTTTTCAGTGGTGAATGAAAACTTGCCCTGTGCAGTAAAGTTTTATAATTCTTGTCTGTTCAGAGCTACTATTAATAAAAATTCTCTTCAGTGCCAGTAAGTGAATGAAGGCCTGCAAAGGTCGAGGGGGAGAATGGAATTTCCCATGCTCTTAAGAGTCTATAGCCAAGTGCAGGCAAAGTCGATAAACTTGTTCCAAACACCCAGTCTATTCCCATTGTGCCTCAAGGCATTGGGAGTACTTTTTTATTCTAAGTCCATTTATGAATGAGACAAATATTTTTTTTAGATTTCTAAGTAGGCAGGTAGCCATATCAATAATATAATATTTATATCCTATATTCAGACTCTAGATGAATAAAAATTTTCTTTAAGGGATATGTTCTATTTTTTGTTTCTTTCATTTTTATTTTTTTGAAGGAGGGTGAATGCGTGAAAAACTGGCATCATAATTACTAATTTCAACTGTCTTTATTGTCATTATCATCACTAATGTTATCATAGACATTTGTTCCTTCATTGATTTATAATTCATGCTGCACACTGAGGATGTGTAAGAATGTGTACCTCAGTAGGTATAGGGAATGACCCCCATCCTGAAGGCATATTAGAGTAAACATTCTCGGTGAGAGCTCCTTTCATCTCCTGTATTTCCTGTTTGCTTTCTTGCTTTCTCAGTGTGTAACTAATTGCAGAAATGTTCTTTTAAGAGAAGAATTCTATTAGAGAGTTTTTTAAAAGATAATATGAAGAAGAAACAACTAGTATTCAGTCAGTGAGTAATCACCTGTTGAATATCCACTGTGTAGGGGGCGTGGGCCTCGCTGCTATGGACATGATGTAAACGCAGACAGGTCCCATACTCCATTGGAGCCTAAAATGGCAAAGATATTCTCTATCTGCAGAGTAGGCATTAAAAATAGAATGGAATATAATTTAGTATTGCAGAAAGCAAATCATTGACTGTAACTGGCTTCGGGTCTATGCCAGTGAAAGAAAGCCAAAACCAAAATAATAATAAAAATAACAAGAACAAAAGCAGCAGGTACAAAAACATCAGTTTACATTTGTCTTGTTACTAAATAATAACTGCTTCTTTGTTTGTTTTTCAGGGTAGGTAACTGAGAAATTGATTTATGTGCATTTACAAACCAGAAATGCTTCCCAAAGTTGGAAAACTTCACTGTGTCACTCGGCCAGTAGAGGCCTCTATCCCTTGGGTGCTGAATGGCACACAGAGAATAACATTTAGAGAAGGAAGTTGGGCTTCGGGCTGTGAATATTTCATGAATCTTAAGTCCATCTCTGATGCACCCACTGAGAATAATAATTCTTCCTGAATTGTAAGAAATCAAGTGTGTTACTGTGATGTGCTCAATATTATGTGCTTGTCTTCATAATTTTCCAAGCACTCTCCTTCAGTGGTTAAGGGAGCAAACTCTAGAGTTTAAATCACAAATCCACAACTTCCGAGCTGAGTGACAA